CCCTTCGCTGGCGCCAGCCGCCGAGCCGCCGGCCCCTCGCTTCCTAATCTGAATCAATGCTCGCTCGACTCTCCCCTCGCCCCTCGCGTGTCGTCGCAGCAGCAGCGCCTCTCCCTCGAATTAGTCAAGATCGGTCAAAAACTAGATTTTGTGCCCGAGGGCGGCCCCGCCCGCGAGCAGCCGCCCTGGGGTCGGCGGCCCGCGCCGGCGCACGAGGCGCGCCCGCGCGGCCGCCCCTGAGAGCAACGGATTCACGCGCTCCCGCCGCCAGCGCGGGGGGCGCACACCCAGGACGGATTGTTGGGGGCGCGCACGCACGCACATGCTCGCACAGAGGTACGGCTCAAGGCGCAAAAAGCGGCCCCCGAGCGCGGCCACCGCCGCCGCGCATTCGCGCACGTAATGGGCGGCGGCAGCCGCGCCACCGGCAGGGCTTCCGGCCGGGGTTTGAATCAAGGGCCCCGGCGCAGATCGTGGATCGGATGCGGCGAGCAAATCCTCGGCAACGATCAGATCAGATTGCAAGATCAGAACATGGTCGCCAGAGAGGGCGCAACCTCGATGCCCACTACAGTGCTCGCGTTGCTGCAGGCGCTTCCCAGGTCACCCCGCGCGCACGAGAGCCCGCTAGCGCCCATCGCCATCCCCGCCTGCGGCGGCTTGAGCAGCGGCCCCCCTCCCCCAGCCGGCGCCGCGTGCGGCGGCCAGGCGGCGGGCGCCGGCGGCTGGCAGTACTGCGGCTGATACTGGTACTGCTGCTGCTGCAGCGGCAGCGGAGCAGGCGGCGCGACGCCACCCAGCACCGTCGCCGCGGCCGCGGCCGCCCACTCCTCCACACTATCGCCCCCGCCGCCGCCGCCGGCGCCGCCCCCGCACTCGCGCCCCCACTCGAGCGGCGACAGCGGCGGCGGCGTCGGCATCGCGCTCGCGGTGTCGTCCAGGAATTGGTGCAGGTGGATCGTGGCCATCTCCGGAAGTCGATCGGGCGCCCCAAACAGCAGCTGCATGACGTCACCATCTGACCTGTGCTCATAGGTCAGATCCGGCCCCCAGAGGTCGGAGAGTCCGAGCTCGTCAAACAGCGACGGCCCTGCCGCCGCCGCAGCAGCAGCCGCGGCCACGGCGGCGCCGCCCGCGGGCGGCGCGCAGGCGGGCAGCGGCTGCTGGAACCGGGAGAAGTCGAACAGCACGCCCGCGCGCGGCGGCGGCGGCGGCGGCGCGGCCG